CCGCGCACTCGCCTCCTCCGCCGCCGCCTCGAGCGCCCCCGCGTCCGCCTCGGCCGCCGCCGCCGCCAGCCCGCCGCCGCCCGGCGGCGCATGAGTCCTATCCGCCGCCGCCGCCGCCGCCGCGGCCGCCGCCGCGGCTCGCGCCGCATCGCTGGACGCCGCGTCCGCAGCGACCAGCGCCTCCGCCGCCTTCTCCGCCTCGCACGCCGCCGCCGCGGCTCGCTGCGTCGACGCCGCCGCCGCCACCGCGCCACCAACGAGCGAGAGCGCCGCGGCCGCGCCGCCGGCAGAGAAGGCCGCCGCGCTGGCGTACGAAGTGTAGCACCTTCCGATGGCGTGGAGCAGCAATCACTACTAGTACAATAGTAATAATAACACTAGTGGCGTACGAGGCAGCACCTTCCGATGGCGTGGAGCAGCAATCACTACTGGTAGTAATAGTAATAATAACACTAGTGGCGTACGAGGCAGCACCTTCCGATGGCGTGGAGCAGCAATCACTACTAGTACAATAGTAATAATAACACTAGTGGCGTACGAGGCAGCACCTTCCAATGGCGTGGAGCAGCAATCACTACTAGTACAATAGTAATAATAACACTAGTGGCGTACGAGGCAGCACCTTCCGATGGCGTGGAGCAGCAATCACTACTAGTACAATAATAATAATAACACTAGTGGCGTACGAGGCAGCACCTTCCAATGGCGTGGAGCAGCCGCAACCCGAACGCGCTCTGCGACAGGCCCTCTGCGAACCGCGCCTATCTCGTCCCGTATCTCGTCCGTATCTCGTCCGTACCTCGTCCGTATCTCGTCCATACCTCCCACCTGGTCCTCACACCACGCCTCCTCCCGCCCCGCCGCTGCGTCGAGCCTCTCCGCCAGCGCCACCGCCACCTCCGTCTCCCGCCGCCGCTGGCGGAACGCGGCCTCGGCGCTGCCTATCTCGCGGCTGCCCTGCAGCGCCTGCTCCGGCAGCGGGAACGAGTCATAATAGTCATAGTAATGAGAATAATAATCGTGGCGTACGATGAGTAGCACCTTCCAGTGGAGCAGCAATCAGAACTACTACTGCTACTGCTACTACTACTGCTAGTGCAGCGCCTGCTCCAGCAGCGGGAACTTGCCGACCAGAGGGTCGAAGTCGGCAGACCCAAACACGGTCTGGAAGAGGCCGACGGCCGAGTCTGCGCTCACCCCGCCGTCGCGCGTCGCCTTTGCGCCCGAGCGGTCATAGTTGAGCCGCGCGTCGGCGTCGCCAAGCACCTGAAAAGCGTCAACTCCTCATTCTTCCTCAGTGGTCACTGTTCATTATGCGTCGGCGTCGCCAAGCTCCTGGTACGCCGCCGTCACAGATTAATTCTTCATCAGCCGCCACTAGTCTTCTTCTCATTA